TGCAATTCCTATCTCGCTCTTGCACTTCTTGAACTTCCCCGGTGTTAACGCCTTGGTCATGATGTCCGCCTTCATGTCCTCCGTCCCGCAGTACGCGAATGCAACCTCCTTGCGTGCCACACGCTCCCGTGCAAAGTGATGAATCACGTCAATGTGCTTCGGCCGCTGTGAAGCGATCGGGTGCTTGAGGAGCCGTATTGCCCCTTGGTTGTTGCAGTAGATCAGGACCGTCCTAAAGTCCAACTCAAGGTCTCCCCCGAGTTTGCGGAACCACAGCGCCTCCTTCACCGCTTGCGCTGCGCTCATATACTCCGCCTCTACCGTCGAGGCCGCCACCGTTGGCTGTAGCCTACCTCGACCAGCTCACCGCCCCCCCATACATCAGGAAGACGTACCCCGTTGTGGACCGCTTTGTGTCCACGTCACCCGCGTAATCTGCGTCGCAATAAGCGATGAGAGTCTCTCCGCTTCCCCCAAACTTTACCCCGTCCTCTGCCGTACCCGCTAGGTAGCGCACAACTCCAAGCGCCGCCCGCCAGTGCTCCTCCGTCGGCCCCGCCATTAAGCGCACAAGCGCGCCCACTGCCTGTGCAATGTCCGGCCGACTGCACACACTCAAGTACAACAGGCTCCCCACGCACTCACTGTAGGGAAACCGCTTTGTGTCGAGGGGTTCACTTTCTTTGGTTAAGTTGTCCCCCGGTTCCGAGAGGGACCGAGCGCGCCCGAGCGCTCGCTAGTCCGTACCGTCCGACAACCTCTCCCGTCAGCTTCTTCTGTGTTAGCTTCCGGGTGCGCGCCTCCCTATCGCGCGCCAGCTCCATGCCGAGGAAGTATTTCGCCTCCCCCAGGTCGCGCACGTCGAACTTCTCCCCCAAATGCGCCTTCACTTTGGCAATGCGCTCCGCTCCCCGGGCCGCCACTAGGATGTCGTCCACCCACACCACTATGTAGACCCGCTCCCCGGCTACTATTCCCGTGAAGAGCGCCGCGTCCGCCATTGACGCCACAAACTCAAAGTTCCCGAGCTCCTCCTTCAGGCGCATGTGCCATGCACGCGGCGCCTGGCGCAACCCGTACAAAGTGCGCTTGAGGTGGCAAACCACGTTGGGCCCGCCTTGCTCGTATCCCTTCGGTTGCTGCATGTAGATCTCCTCCTCCAGCTCCCCATTGAGGAACGCCGTTTTGACGTCCAGCTGGTGCAGCTCCTAGTCGCGCTCCGCGACCACCGCCAACAATGCACGCAATGTGGTGTGGTTGCTCATTGGGGCGTAGACTTCCTCAAAGTCAATTCCCTGCTTTTGCAGGTACCCTTTCGCCACCAGCCGGGACTTGTACCGCTCCACATTTCCGAGAGCGTCCCGCTTTATCTTGTAAACCCACTTCATGGGAACCGGCTTGACCCCTTCCGGTCTTTCGACGAGCTCCCAGGTCCCGTTCTCCAACAAAGACCGCATCTCCTCGTCCATCGACTTCCGCCATAGTTCACTCTCTTCTCCCCCTACGGCTTCCTGATAGGTTTGCGGTTCTGGGTGCTCCCCCGTCCCTTTGGGGTGCTCCCCGGCCTTCGGTTCCGCCGCTAAGTTAGCGCGGTACCACTTCCCCGGTGCGCGTCGTTTGCGCGCGGGGTACCTCTGGGCAGCCGGTGTTTGAACCGTCCGTGGGGTCGGAGCCAAGCTCGACAATTCCATCTCCCCCGATTCCCTTGTCAAAGATAACGTCCCGGGAGATGATTAACTTCCCGTCACGGTCCCGGAGCAACCTGTAAGCCTTCGAGGCCGGCTCGTACCCCACGAACACACATCGCTCGCTCACCGGATCTAGCTTACGCCTCCGCTGCTTGGGTACGTGGCGGAACGCTCGGGCCCCAAAAACCCTCGTATGCCCGACATTCGGCTTTTCACCGAAGAAAAGTTCCCAGGGAGTCCTTCCATGGGCGCTCACGGGCGTCCGGTTCCGGGTGTAGTTGGCCGTCACCACGGCTTTCGCCCACAACTCTTTGGCCAACCCCGAGTCCTCAAGCATTGCCCGGGTCTTCTCCTCTAAATCCCCGTTAAGTCGTTCCGCCAACCCATTCTGCTCGGCGCTATAGGGGGCGGTTTTCTGGTGGACCGTCCCCTTGCCTTCGAAAACGTTTTTAAGGGCCTTGTTGACGTACTCCTTGCCCCGGTCTGTCCGCACCGACTTGAGCTGCTTCCCCGATTGCAACTCCAACCGGTTGATCACGTGCTCTGTGACCTTGGCCACCTCGCTTTTCTGCTTCAAGGGGACTACAACCGAGAGTTTGATGTAGTCGTCCAAAAACGCGGCAAAGTACCGGCTTCCCCCTACCGAGGCTACCGGCATTGTCCCGCAGACGTCCATATGGACTAGCTCAAGAGGCTCCGTGCTCACCGAGTCGGATTCCGGGAAAGGGGAGCCTAGTTTGCTTCCCCATAATGCAGGGCTCACACACCGAGGTTTTAAGCGCCCTGAACGCACTCGGTTTCACCCCGACCCCTTCCACAAGGTCGCGCTGCACCATCTTCGCCAAGTTTTCGTACCCGGCGTGTCCCAACCGTCGGTGCCACAGCTCCGCCGTTTCCGGCTTCTTCACAAGGAAGCACGTCTCCTTCTCCGCGCGGTTGACCACATAGACCCCCTTCACCTTCCGAGCCACAAGGACTACCTCCTCGTCAACCTCAAGCTCGCAGTTGCCGTTCTCCTTGAACAGCATTGACGCAACCTCGGTGGCCTTGCTCACCGAGATCAAATTCGCCGCCACCCTCGGGACATACATCACGTTCTGCAGAGTGACCAGACTTTCTCCGGTCGGTGTCGCACACCGCAGCTCTACCGAGCCGCTCCCCTCTGCCCATAGGGTTCCCTTGTCCCCGAACGTGAACTCTCGGCCACTCCCCCCGAACATTTCGAGGGTCTCAAATAGGCTCTTGTCCCCGGTGAGGTGTTGGGAGCTACCCGAATCGACGAGCCACTCGTCGGTCGACACCCCCTCAATGACCCTAAAGGCCACACCCCTGGGAGGTTTCCCCCCTTTTTTTGCTCCGGCTTGTGCTCCCGCCTATCCGGCTTACTGCACTTCCGGGCAATGTGACCAAACTCCGCGCAATTATAGCACTTGGGCCCTTTGCCCCGGTTCTCATCCTTGCCGTGCACTTTCTCCTTCCCTTTCCGCCCGGCCACGTAGGCCACTGCGGAGTCCGACCCACCGCCGCCCTTTTCCTTAGGCGACTCCTCAAACCCTTGCTCATGCACCAAGAGCTTCGGCAGAATCGCATCCACCGAGCTAATAGCGCTCTCCGAAGCCTCGGATTGTTCTCAGGGTACTGAACGTCTTGGGCAATCCCGCAAGCACGCTCCATGCCAACTCATCCGGCTTCATCTCAAAACCGGTGGCAACCAAGTCCTTATACAAATCCTTGCCCGACCCATATACATGGTCACGGGCTCACCCGACTTCATCTTGAGAGAATGCAACTCTTGCCTGAGCTGCATCTTCCTTGCATTGGTTTTGCTCTTGTAGGTCTTCTCAAGGAGATCCCACGCCTCCTTTGCGGTTTTGCAATCCTCAATCGACCCCAAATGGTGGTCCTCAACGTTTAGCCCGATGATGGACAACGCTTTCTTTGATTGAGCAGGGTGCGCTACGGGATCCTCAACCCCGTTCCATAGATCCTTGGAAGTCAGAAGAAACTTAATCTTCGAACTCCACGTTCTATAGTTCTCCACATCCAACTTATCGATGTGGACCTTGTATCCGTCGGCCAATTTAGGGATTGCGTTCCCTTTCTCTTTTTTGTCAGGACCAAAGGTGGAAATTTTCCTTTTAGGCTTTCCCTGCCACTTGATCCCCCTTACGGGCTTTCAAATGTCGTTGTGCTCAAAGAGCATCCACGATAAAGCAGACCGCCCCCACCGTGCCTTCATTGACAAGAGAGAACCATTGGCCGACCTCGGCGCACAGATTCAATTCCCACCCTTACGGAGGCCTACTATTGAATGCTTGCGCCTTCACTCCTCAGACGCCGTGGTGCGCCGTCCGTGCGCCGTGGGCCCATAACCTGTTGAAACACGGCGTTGTTTGGAATGAATGATCGAATGATCAAGTTCACACAATACATATCGAGTGTTCGGAGTCTAGCGGCGCTAAAGCTCTGCAGTCTGTGTGCTATGCTAAACTCACTCCAGTAGAGTCACACTCCTAGTCTAGGTCTGCACTGATAGCCTAGTAGGCTGAGTTTACCGCGGATAAGCAAGTCCGAAGATCTCGCGCAAATCTGAATATCTACGGCTATTATCGAACCTACTCATTACGGCGGTTACCTCAATAAGTCATTCGGGTGTAACGCTGTAACCCGCCAAATTTAACCGCCAACCGCTAACTACCGGTTATCGTCGAACTCCCGTCGACGTTACCCAAGAGATCGTGCACACTAAATGCCCGAATCTCAACACATGACCTTTAGATACGTGGATACTAAAATCGACGGCCTAGCTTCACTCACTCAACCAAGTACCATCGAACGGTCCACACAAATCGGGTATTAATCGTCTGCAAGGTTCTTAATCTTTTGCAAGTTCTTCCAAATCTGTTTGGTCTTAATCTGCCAAGTACTTGGGCTACTTGGTCTTAATCAACCAAGCACACAATCCCTTTTATCTTAATCCATCAAGCACATAACTTCTTTTATCTTTATCTGCCAAGCACTCGGCTCCTCTTATCTTGATCATCAAGCACTCAATCCTTTTCATCTTAATCTGCCAGGCCTTTTACCTTTTCTCTCTTAATCTGCCGGTCTCAACTTCTTTCATCTTAATATGTCAAGCCCTCACTCTCTTTCATCGATATCAAACAAATAGTCATTCTCTTTGCTCTTACTGTCCACAATTTGGCTGTCATCCAACCTTAAATTGCAGCAGGGATTTGCCTTCTTTGTGTTCAAGGAAGAGTGTATTTGAGATGGCGGGAGACGACTGAATCTCGATCCCGCAACTCTGTGGTGAAAACTGTTTAACGTGAAAAGCCAAGTTCCGTCAAGATCCGTGGGCTTTTTGCATACAAGGGATGGCTGTGTAAATTGGAGGAGCCGCAGTCGTGGAAGGTAGGAAACTGTCAAGCCAAGCGAAGGGGGTTGATGCTGATCCACACGGAAGATGCATATATGAAGTTGATTGAGGGTGAACATAGCGTTTTTGAAGAACGCCATACCCATGCCCACCTGCGGCGACCAAGGCTATTCAAGTCCCACCTGTCAGAGAAAGATTTAATTGCAAGATAAGGTAGGATTCGCCGTCGATCGATCTTATCGTCCATGTTGACCGTCGATTTCATGTTGGGGGTTGCGCAACCCCAGGCCTTGAAGCGTCGCACGGTACCTACTAGTGTCCTGTACGACAAGTTTCCAGTACGCGAGCAGAATTTTTGCAACGGGGATTCCAGTCAGCCTAGGGTAGTATTGAAAATGTGAACTCCGACGTTTACGGCGTAGAAATACTTGGTTAGACTTCTCAAGCTATGGGCGGCGGTATTTTAATCATAGCTTGGAAGGGTTAGACTGTTGCCCGGTCCAGTACACTTCGTCGAGCTCTAGGTCTTGCGATGAAAACTTCTACATGTAGAGGCTTCCATGACTTGAAGGTACATTTTACCGTTTATATAGTACAATTGTTACTAAATTTTTCGTACGGTACTGACAACCTTTGTACCTCGCAAGTCGCGACTCTCACACATTTTGGCTTCGGCAGTACCACCGCGACCCGCGATACATAAAACTCCACCATCGACTGAGTACCGGCCCACCCACCCGGGCACCGGCAAGCTCCATCGCACAGTGCGGAATTGGATTTTGAGGCATCGACGGTTACTCGTACCTCATCCTGCAACGCAATCTTTTCTGACAGGTGGGAGACATGGATTTCTCTAAAAAGGTTAGGGGCATGCTTGCACGCCTCTTCAAGAACGCTATGGAACCACGCTTTGCAAAAAGCGTGGACACAACGCAAACGGCAAATTTTCCGCTCGCGAAGTCGTAAAGCCGAATTCGCGCGGTAGGCAAATTTTACCACTCCAGACTCGAAAGTGGTCAAAAAAGGCCATTTTTAAGGTTGTAAAGGTAGCCTGCGTTTGTGTACCTGTGCCACGATTTTGGTTCTGAAGATTGGGATAGACCTTTATTATGTTGAAATCATACGCTCGTGCTTGGAATCTAGGAGGGATTCAACCACCCTCACACACAAAGCGCCTTCACAAAAGGAGCGCCCTAGCTCTCAACAAGCATCTCTTAATATGAATGAGTTGGGTTCTCTACATGTAGTCAAGTCTTATAGCCTAGCTCAAGCCCAGCATTAACCTAGGTGTTTCAATCGACAAATCGACGGTCCGTATTCGTCGTTGCCTATAAAGAACCCATCGAACGGCTACACCTCACAAAGAACCCTTTCACAATGGACTCAATCCTACGGCTCACTTTTCGCGCATCCTACGGTGGATATTAAATCATGCAAGCTCACAATGGTACGGCCACCCTTATGCATCAAAGCTACGCTTCCATGGACGACTCAAGCACAAGACATTAGAGCGTATTCAAGGCTAGTACCTCCCAACTCTAACATACGGCACAAGAGCGAAACTACCCTCTATTTCCGCCAAACTCCATCACAATTTGGCCGTCAAAGAACCCCGTATTTTAACAGTCCCACAAATTGTCCCACTTGCATCTAACCCTTCCGACCCGCTCGCTTCTTGGCCTTCGGTGTTACCCATCCCGTCTCGCCCTTCCGATCTTCTCCCGGTGGCACACGTGTACGCTCCGGATATCGCTTGCCGTCCATCTCCGGCGACATCATCTTTTCGCTTTCAACCTTGTCCTTCCGGTTGATCCGTGCTCCCACGCGTTCTGCTGTGGTTGCTTCCACGCCTTCCGCTCCCGCTCCCACGGCTTCCGTTGCGCAGTGTTTCTCCGTCTTCTTCTCCGTTGGGGTCTCCATTTTCCCGACGCTTACATCCACCGATTGGGTCTCCTTCACCCCGTTGTCCGACTCATCGCCCGACTCAAGGTCAACCTCAATGACCTTGACCGGCCTCACCTCCGCTTGCTTCTTCTCCACTCTCATTTCCGGCTTCGGTGCCACCTTCCCAAACCGACGCTCCGTCTTAACCGACGCCCCTTGACCGCCAAGAATGCTCTTGCCTTCTTACCTGTGCAATCTCCCACAATCCACCGTGTTGCACCGCCTCCATGCTCACCACACCTCCCATCTCAAAACGGGCAATCCCCCTTTCAAAAGAGATCCTTGCGCCCGCGTCCGTTGCTCGCCGCATTGCGAACAAGTTTATTCTCGCTTCCAGAACGTGCCAAACCTCACCTTGCCCGTTCCGTTTGGCGTCTCACACTCCAAGACAACTTGCCCAATCCCCACCGCCGTCAAGGCTTCTCCTCCAAGCCCCTCAATCGTCTCCGTACGCGCAAGCCTCTCGTAGCTTGCAAATTGCCTCTTATCCCCGGTGATGTGTTGCGTGCTTCCCGAGTCAACAAGCCACACATCCGCCGGCAACCGCGCCTCTTTGCGCCACGCCATAAACGCCACACCGGCAAACTCCTTCCGGTCCGGGCGGTCCTCACCGCCGCCTTTTGCACCACCTCGGGGCCTACACACCGAGCTTATGTGGCCCCTCTTCCCACAATTGAAGCACTCCGCGTTCCTCTTCCAGCAATGGGCCCGGACGTGGCCCTTCTCTCTGCAACCATAGCACGTCCTCGCGTCGAGACCGCCTTCGCGCATCACCCCTCCGATAAACCTCCCCGCTCACTTGAACCCTTGGTAACGGTCTCATACCGTTCCCGGTTGGCAACAAATGCGTTCCCCATACTATTTTCCTTCTCCGGAGTTCCTAGCTTCTCTTCCAACTTCAACTTTTGCTCCTTTTGCATGAGCTGAATTGTGTCCAACGTCAACTCCTCCTCACTCAACTCTAGGACCTCAACTAGAGTTGCATACTCCTTAGGCAAACCATTCAAGGCATGGATTGCCAACTCTACCTCGGACACGGTTTGACCCGCTGTCTCCAAATCCACCTGTATCTCGCGAAACTCTCCCACATACTCCGCAATGCTCTTCTCCCGGGTCAACGTCAAGCTTGTCAACTTCTTCCTAAGTTGGACAACCCTTGCGTTGCTTGTTTTCTCAAAGTTCTCCTCAAGCTTCTTCCAAGCTTTGGCAGCCGTGGACTCCCCAATGAACAACTTTACATAGGCATCTTGAGTGTGGAGGTTCATCAAAGCCTTTGCTTGCCCCGATGCTTTTCTTCCTTCCACCGGGTCCGGTTGCTCAATAACAACATACAACCCTTTGTACTCAAGAAGGGCTCGGAACTTGGCCCTCCATACCGACCAATTCTCACCTCCAAGTTGCGGGATAACAATCTTGTCAATCCCCGCCATCTCCTCTGCGGTAAGGCCTCTCTTAGCGCTAGACCCAACTTAAGCTTCACTCAAAGCTCTTCCTCTTCAACTTCACAACAACCTCATCATCCTCCTTTACCTAGAAAGCGTTGTTGTGGGCCCATAACCTGTTGAAATCATACGCTCATGCTTGGAATTTAAGAGGGATTCAACCACCCTCACACACAAAGCGCCTTCACAAAAGGAGCGCCCTAGCTCTCAACAAGCATCTCTTAAAATGAATGAGTTGGGTTCGAACTTACATGTAGTCAAGTCTTATAGCCTAGCTCAAGCCTAGCATTGACCCTAGGTGTTTCAATCGACAAATCGACGGTCCGTATTCGTCGTTGCCTATAAAGAACCCATCGAACGGCTACACCAAAGTGCACATCACAAAAGAACCCTTTCACAATGGACTCAATCCTACGGCTCACATTTCGCGCATCCTACAGTGGATGTTCAATTATGCAAGCTCTCAATGGTACGGCCGACCTTATGCATCAAACCTACGCTTCCTGGACGACTCAAGCACAAGACATTGGAGCGTACTCAAGGCTAGTACCTCCCACCTCTAACATATAGCGCAAGAGGGAAACCACCGTCTATTTCCGCCTAATTCTATCACAATTTGGCCGTCAAAGAACCCCGTATCTTAACATATTACGAGCAGTCCAAGGTAATTCCCAAGTTGCAATAGATTCTATTGTCAAAATCTCAAACTGCCACGGTGGGAGTTTTGGCTTATTCAAAATCCTTGAGTGAAATTACCGTGAATTTCGAGCTACGGCGGTCGAAAAGTGGGCCTTATTGACTTTTCAAAGCGAAATTTCGAGGCCCCGTTTTCGCGATCGATCGCGAGTCGTGGGCTATATTTTAGTGCATTGGCAGTGGCCGTCGCGAAAACGGCACAATGAGTGTGTTTGCGTTGTGGAAGAAGTTGGAGGACAACTTTGAAAAAAGGAGCAACGCGTGCATGATTCAACTCGGGAGAAAGCTGACGGGTCTAAGGTTGGACAAGTGGAAAGCCATTGCAGAGTACACCAAGGGGAAGACCAGGAGCTCAAGATAGATTTAGAGGCGGCAGGACAAAGCGTCTCAGAGGGTGAGCTGGCCGTGCACGCCTTGAAGGGTTTGCTGGAGGCGTATGCCACTGTTGTGGAGTTCTTGAAGCTCGGAAAAGAAGAGCTAACCCTAGCCTGAGAAACAGAGAAGAGGCAAGCAAACCCTAAGATGGCTGACGGGTTCAAAGTCCATGTAGAAGCTTGATGTAGATAACGACATCAATTGGAGTGGCAAAATCAACTTCTCGTTGACATCAAATAATCTATGAAACGGAGGGAAACATCCCGCAGCTCACGCATCTCAATCGACGAAGGCGTTTCCATCGTACGTGATAATAATTGAGGCGTGCAAGTCAGCAAAGGAGGCTTGGGATCCCCTTGAGACGACCTACGGGAGCAAATTTGATGTACGGGAGATGCAACTCAGGCAAGAGTTGCATTCCCACAAGAGAATGTCGTGCACATGAGCCCGTGACCGTACGTGGCTCGGGCAAAGGATTCAGTGTATGGAAATTTGACAGCACCGTTTTCGAGGTCAAGCCGGATGTGCTAGCGGGATTGCCGAGCTCGTTCAGTACCCTGAGAACAACTCTAATGGCTTCGGAAGGCGGCTTGAGCTTGGTAGATGCGAATTTGCCGAAGCTCTTGGGTGCATGAAAGGGTTTCAGCTGCCCAAGGATGCTCAGGGCGGTGGTGGGTCAGACTTCGCGGTAATTTGTGTAGCTCAGCGGAAAGGGAGCAAGAAGAAGAGCCACGGCAAGGATGAGAGCCGGGGCAAGGGCCCTAAGTGCTACAACTGCAGTGAGTTTTGTGACATTGTCCGGAAGTGCAGCAAGCCGGATATGCGGGAGCACAAGCCATAGCAAAAGAAGGGAGGTAAACATTCCAAGGGAGTGGCCTTTAGCGTGATTGAGGGGGTAGCTGCCGACGATCGGCTCGTCACTGTTGGGTAGCTCTTAGCACCTAATCGTGGACAAGAGCCTATTTGAGACCCTCGAGATGTTCGTAGGGAGTGGCCGAGAGTTCACGATTCGGGACGCCGGGAACCTTGTGGGCAGAGGGGAGCGGCTCGGTTGAGCTGTTGTGCGCGACTGCGATGGAAGACTTTTTGGTCCTCAGATGCAGAACGTGATGTGTTCCATGAGTTGCGGCAAACCTGATTTCGGTAAGCAACCGAGGTCGCCGCCTTAATATTGTTCAAGGAGAACGGCAATTGTGGTTTGAGGTTCACGGGGAGGTAGTCCTTGGTTCGGAAAGTGATGGAATCTACGTGGTCGACCGGGTGGGGAACGCATTGATCTCCAAAGGGGCCCGCTTTCGGAAATGCTGAGTTTAGGGCCCGCCGCGCTGCGAGAGAACGCGTGCTTCCTCGTGAGAAAGCCGGAAGCGGCCGAGCTGTGACATCAACGGATGGGGCAAGTCGGGTATGGGAACTTGGCGAAGATGATGCAAGACACCACGTGGAGGTCGGCGAGAAACCGGGGGCGTTCAGAGCGCTAGAACCTCGGTGTGTAAGCCGTGCATCATGGGGAAGCAAACGCGGCTCCCTTCCTAGAATCGTAGTCGATGAGCATGTAGCCTCTCAAGCTGGTCCACATGGACGTTCTACGGGCCGATGCCGGTCCCCTTGGTCGGGGGGAGCCGGTACTTTGCCACGTAGAA